GGTTTGCTGTCTCCGTCCACCCCAGCCCCCTCATCACCTACATCAGGCATTTCTCCCGGTGTTATCCCTCCCCATCCTCCCCCACGAACTGTCCCTCCCCTCCGCTCCATCCCCCCCAAGCCCTGTGAGTGCTGTTCCCTTCCCTGTGCCCAACACACTTGGTGATATTTATAATGGCATTTTTATAGCAGGCTTTCCGGTTTTTGCCAGAAATCTCCCCACAAAAATAAAAGAAGGAAAAAAATCATCAGATGAGTCCCAAAGGTGAACAACAACCACCAAATATCAATAAGATTATTTTTCGCTAGGCAAGCTTACTCTAAATTTTCTATGTAAACAATAAACAAAACAGCAAATTCAGGAAAATGTATAAAAATAAGTAAATAATAAATAAAAGTTATGTGGGAAGGCTAGCCCTTGCAGCTAACTAAAGTGCCTGTTTTATTAAGCATGACGAATTAAAGCAATATGTTATTGGTGCATGAATAAATTAATCAATCGAATGGAATTTAAAGACCAGAAATAGACCAAAAAACACATAAGGAAATTTAGAGTATGGTGAGGATGGCATATGAAATCATTTGGGAGAAATTGATTTATTCAATAAATGATATTAAGATATATAGGTAACCATGTAAATGAAAATAAAGTAGGATCCATATTTCACTTCTTATATGATAATACATTCCAGATATGTCAAAAATGTAAGTGTAAAAAATCATAAAACATTGGAAGAAAATATGGGAGAATTTTAAAAAATATTTCTGTAGAGCATACCTTTGAATGTATGTCACAAAGCCCAGAAACCGGAAGAGATTAACTTGATTTCCAAAGTACCATTAAAAAGTCAAAAGACAAATGACAAGCATAGGAAACACTTGCAAAGCATCTTATAGACAACTAAAGATTCCTTTTAAATCAATAGGGGGAAGATGAACAACGCAATAGAAAGGACAAGGGATAGAGGTGCGCAACTTGTAGGAAAGAATATATAAATGGCTAAAATGTATGAGAACATACGCAACTTCACTCATTATAAGGGAAATAATGATCACAACTATGATTAGGTAATTTTTTCATCAATAAGACTGGCAAAATTGAAAAAGTTTGCTAATGAACTGTGTGAACAAGCTTGAGGGGAACTGCCAGGCGCGGTGGCTCACGCCTGTAATCCCAGAACTTTGGAAGGCCTGGAAGGCCAAGGTGGGTGGATCACTAGGTCAGGAGATCGAGACCATCCTGGCCAACATGGTGAAACCCTCTCTCTATTAATCATACAAAAATTAGCTGGGCATGGTGGTGCATACCTGTAATCCCAGCTACTTGGGAGGCTGAGGCAGGAGAATCCCTTGAACCAGGGAGTGGGGGGTTGCAGTGAGCCACTGCACTCCAGCCTGGCAACAGAGTGAGACTCCATCTCAAAATAAATAAATAAATAAAAGATTGGGAGGAACTAAGACACACATACACTACTGGTGGGACGGCCCATTGGTACAGCTACCACAGAAGATGATTTGGCAATAGCCAACAATATTCTAAATTCTTTTCTAAGAATTTATAAGAAATCCTATTTCTAAAGATTTATCCTGCTCAAATACATGGAAAATTGCCTACATAACATGAATTGCAGCAGTGATCAAATTGCCTAGAACTTACTGATGCTTATTGCACTTTCAGCATGATTCCAAGTGTGTGGCAAGTATTCATCGAATCCTCACAGAACACTATGAAATTAATGGGGTATGGTGGTGCTTGCCTGTAATCCCAGCTACTATGAGGTTACAATTATTACTCATTTTATACAGAAATGGAGGCACAGAGAGGTTAAGTAACTTGCCCAAGTTCACATTGCTAGTAAGTAGTGGCACCGGAACTCAACCCTACGTAGGCTGGCTCCCGAGTTTGCACGTTTATCCACTATATTCAATTCTCTGAAATAGCGAAGATTGAGAAAATCTTCATTGTACATGGAGAGGGGACTGGTTAGTCGGGTGCAACGTAGCCATTAAAAAGAACGAGGCAGCTCTATACGTTCAAATTTAAAAAGATATCTATGATATATTGCAAGCTGTTGAACAGCATTCTGAATATGCTCTACTCACATGTAGTAAAGTATATGTGTATCTATATATCTAGTATATGTCCAGAAGAAAACACAATTAACAGGTCTTAGTGACGGCCTCTGGGGAGGAGAAATTGTTACCTGGGGCACCGAGGATCCCTAAATAGACAGACATAAATAAGAGGACTCAGCAGACAGAAACCAAAATATCATCTTTATTATGAATATGGTCAACATTGTAGAACAGTGCGTACATGACAGCTGCAAAGAAGTTCAGAATACTGAACTCCAGAACTGAGTTATATGCAAGCCCCACCCCTTCCCACAAACAATGCGATTGTTCAGCCCGCCCAAAAGGATTTGCAGAAGAGATCATGTGCTCTTTCAAAGTTGCACCCAAAAGAGCAAAAAAGGAAGAGGAAGAGAGAAAGTACGTATGCCCAGTTCCTCCTCCCAGTCTGCAATGTCAGACAGTCCCGTCTACCTCCCACGGGGAGTCACTGAGGAGCGTTGCCTTAATGGAGCTCAGTCTACACCAAATTGGCTAGAACTTACTGAGGCTTTTTACACTTTCAGCAATTTAACCTCTCTGTGCCTCCATTTCTGTATCTAAAATGAGTAATAGTTGTAACCTCATAGTGTTCTGTGAGGATTCGATGAGTACCAAAGGAAGCAGGAGTGGGAGAGAAGCATCCATCACAGATCTTTCAAAAATATATTAAATAATACTTTGGGGTCTGGGTGTGTTGGCTGTTGCCTGTAATTCCAGTACTTTGGGAGGACAAGCCAGGAAGATTGCTTGAACCCCAAATTTGAGACCTGTCTGGGCAACATAGGGAGACCCCATCTCTACAAAAAATAAAATAATTAGGCAGGCATTGTGGTGCATGCCTGTGGTCCCAGCTACTTGGGAGGGAGAGGTGGGAGGATTGCTTGAGCCCAGGAGGCTGAGGCTGCAGTGAGCCCAGATGACACCACTGTACTCCAGCCTGGGTGGCAGAGTCAGACTCTGCCTTAATAATATTAATAATAACAATTTGCAAAATCAAGTTAAGAAAATTGAAGTCCAAGGAGATGAAATAATTTGCTCAATGACATCTGGCAAAAAAAAAAAATGGCAGAACAAAAATTTAAATCACGTCCTCTGACTTCAAATTCCTTGCATCTAGTCTCCACACCAAGCCGCCCCATAGCACCTATGTAGGCAAAGAGACGAGACAGGCAAAGAGTCAGGTGACATGATCCAGACAGCATGCTCTTTCTGAGAGAGAGCAGCTGCTCCTGGAAGCTGGATTTTGAGGGAGAGGCCAGTGGGAGAGAGTATGATTTTTTTTTTTTTTAAACATAGTCTCTCTGTGGAAGTGAACAGGTCTAGGAGAAAGGCGGGTTTAAGGGAGCTAGTTCAGCGAAGCAGCCACAGCAACACTAGGGCGGCTAGCCCCACGAGGGCAGCAGAGACCCAGGAATGGCCTTCTCCCATTCGTTCACTGTAGGAAGCACACACAGGGAGGCCTCTTGAGGTTTCAGCTGTTCCCAAACTCGAGGCTGACATCAAACAATTCTGTCAACCCTGAAGCTAGAGGCCATATCAGTGCAGGGTCGGCACCTTATAAACATAGCTGCAAAAGTAGAGGAAGCATTTTCCCACGGCCATCCACTCATACAGGAAACATCAAATTAATTGCTCTTCCCTGTTTTCTTGAAGCTGACCCCCCCCTTTTTTTTTTTTTAACAGTGCAGCCCTATACCAAGTCTTGTTTTTTGTCTTCACATTATGCAACCAGCCTTGGTGGAGGATAAAAGATTGATCCCAGATTCATAGATCTTTGCTAGGTAAGAGCAGAACAAAGGCTTTTGAATCCTAGATCGTGGAATCAGAACAGACGTGTAGGGAAATAGCTCTCCAGACACCATGAGTGTAAATCTTCCAAGACATCTGTAGATGTCTTCATCAGCTGCAGAAGATCTACATCTGCTATCTCACCTGGTAGAATGGGATGTCCTAACAACCCAAACTGAATTGCTATTCTCAGAAATGGTGGGTTAATGATCCCATTTGTTTAAATTCAGTACAGAGCCACAGCGGAGGGACTAGGGCTGTTTTGCGGCTGAGGAAAAAGAGAGCACTTTTGATGTCGTTTGATCTGAGTATCTGGCAGGGAGGTGGGTTGCACAGAAACACAGAGGTGTGGTGTCCACTCCCTCACCCCTTCCCATCAGGCTGTTGAGTAGCTTTGAATTCCCTACCTTTGGAGAGAGGAGTTAGGGTGGAAGCTGAAGGAAGTGTGTTCATGAAAGACTTTGTGGGAGTCTGGGTGTAAACACGCAGGGCATGTGCAGAATCATATCAGCAACCTCCCTGTTCCAACTCTGCTCAGACTAGAAGGCCACTTGAGTATCCTGAGGACTGAAGCTGGTCAGTACCCCCATTAGAAGAGATCATGACATGGTGAAAAGCAGGATTATGATATGGGCAGCACAGACAGCGATGGGGAAGCCCTGGGAGCTCCCAGAAATAGCAAGAGAGATCCTATATGGGGAGAGAGGGTGTAGATATGCAGGTGGGAGCGAAGAGTGTTGGTAATTCTGGCATGAATGACAATATGCCCTCACTTGCATCTATGGCTGCTGATGCCTTGTTCTTGATTTGTGTTTCTCGATTTGAATGAATATTTCACTTAAGTTGTCACACCTTGGTTTCTCACTGATCAAAAGCAGCATCCCTTTAGTCAGGTGGCAGTTTCCCAAAAAGGATGGGAGGAATGGTCCTTTCACCAGGAGAACCTGAGAACTACTGATTTAGTCTATCTCCCTTTCTTTGGATTGGACAGCATTTGATACCAATTCAGAAATGAGTTAGAATGTTATTCTTTGAAAGAAACTTTTCCAGAAATACTTTTCCAGTGATACCCTAGAAGAAGTTACTAGTATCTCGGAGTTCATTCAACACTAGATAGGAATTTATTGGCTAAGAAAAATAAGTGATTTCATGCCCCCCGATGCAAATTCTTCACCTCTTCTTCACTTCTGACTGATGGAATGCATGTGAACTTAGATCTTGAGATGTTATTTGAGTGCAGCCTTGCTTGGACACGGTCTATCGTAGCTCCTCTGACTACCATTGTTGTTACCAGGCTGCAAATGACTGCTGGCAAGGATAGAGGGTCCTTCAGAATTCCTGGGAGACCAGAATCAGTCTCTGAGGTGTGGGGCAGTTGTCATAGGGGCTGTTCTGTTGTAGCATCACTTTATTTATGAACTAAATAAAAGAAATCTTCAGTCACATCTGTTCAGTAGGAGCCGTATTCTTTGGAGTCAGGATACGTGAGAAGGGCTTCAAAGAGTTGCCTACTTCGTTGGGGAATAGAAAGAGAAAAATTGAGTTGAGATGTATTGCCTACCTCTGAGGAGTGTTTCTGCAGCAAAAGTTGCAAACTCTATCATGGGAGTTTCATGGGGACTAAACACAAGTTTATTTTCAGGGCTGAGATCAGAGGTCATTACTGCAAAGCTCATCAGTGGGAAAGTCAGTGGGAAAGCTTGGTACACGGGGCTTGCATTCACCTCTCACCAAGTTTTGGCAATGTGAACACAACTGAATTTCAGAATCCAAGAATCTCAAAGCCTTCGTTCAGGCTGCCACCTTTCAACTGCCTGAGTCTGAGGAAGCAGGCCTGGCTACAACAGGCTGTACAACTTCTTGCTAAAAAGGAAGAGCGTTGGATTCTCCTGCCTCAACTTTCACAGTATCGTGTGCCTCTCCTTTCGAGCACCAGCTCCAGCTGGCAATGCTACATTTGGGTGTTGATGTGTGACAGTGTGTCTTCCTCCCCCTCTACAAGTCCCACGAACGCAGACGCTGTTTCTTTTGCCCATCTTTGTATCCCCAGCACTAGCTAGCATGGTCCTTTTTTGTTGAACTAATGAATAAAAATATTGGAGAGTATGAAAATGAGACCCTCAACTTATAGAGAAGAAAACAGGCCCAGAAAAGTATAAAGTTGCCCAAGGTCACACCTTTAAAAAGTGACAATGGTTTTAGCAGAAACCTAGACTACAATTGTGTCCCAGAGGGAATGGCCTTGGGCAGACCTGAGAAAGGTATTGCCTTGCCCACATGCCCCAGCTTTGTAGTTCAAGGCTGCGAGAGGACAAAGGTCAACAATGTTGTAGGAGCCACTACTTTTTTTAGGGCTCCTATTCTGACCACAGGAAGAAAATATCACAGGGGAAGTACGAGGCCTTGCAGCCTTTGCTTTGCATTTCAGATTCTTCTGGCTACGGATCCTGGTGTGTCACTAGCAAGGGTTACTAGGAGTTTTTTTTCTCTCTTTCTCTGAAATGTTGTTCTTCTGCATTTCTATACCCAAAGGAGGTTGCAGTCTGTTTTATAATTATGCCTGCAGTCTCTTCATCGCCTAAGGTGTTCCTGTGGTTTCTGAGCATAAAAAGAAAAATGAGAAACTACCATTGGCCAAACAGTGGCAACTGTGTGGTTCTTTCTCTTCTGTGTACACTTCAGAGGTTGGCAGATTCGCCACATGTTGGCTCAGAGGATTCTCTAAACAGTAAGACCAGCCTTTGTGTCTCTGGTGCTGCCTCAAAGGGAAAGGTGGGCACACAGTCCCTTCTCTATTTAGGAATGGGGAGACCTAAAGATCAGGCTGAGGCAGGAGAATCGCTTGAACCTGGGAGGCGGAGGTTGCAGTGAGCCGAAATCGAGCCCCTGCACTCCAGACTGGGCAACAGAGCAAGACTCTGTTTCCAAAAAAAAAAAAAAAAAAAATTAAAATTGGCCAGGCATGGTGGCAGGTGCTTGTGGGCCCAGCTACTTGAGAGGCTGAGGTGGGAGGATGGCTTGAGGCCAGGAGTATGAGGCTGCAGTGAGCTATGATCACACGTCTGCACTCCAGCCTGGGCAACAGAGCCACACCCTGTGTATATGAAAAAGGAGGCTCAGCCGGGCGCGGTGGCTCACGCCTGTAATCCCAGAACTTTGAGAGGCTGAGGCAGGTGGATCACGAGGTCAAGAGATTGAGACCATCCTGGTCAACATGGTGAAACGCCGTCTCTACTAAAAATACAAAAAATTAGCTGGGCATAGTGGTGCGTGCCTGTAATCCCAGCTACTCAGGAGGCTGAGGCAGGAGAATTGCCTGAACCCAGGAGGCGGAGGTTGCAGTGAGCCAAGATCGCGCCATTGCACTCCAGCCTGGGTAACATGAGTGAAGCTCCGTCTCAAAAAAAAAAAAAGAAAGAAAAAGGAGGCTCTTCTACACCTGCTTACCCAGGGGTCCCAGAAGCTCCTTCCTTTGATGGGAACCCAGAGTTTGTGAGCTAGGGAGGTAGGTGGTTCTGCAGATGTGGAACCTGTGGTGTGGTCTCAGGGCCTCCCTCCTTCCTGATCTACACATGTATCCACTTAAGAAAGCCCCAGGCCGGGCGCGGTGGCTCACGCCTGTAATCCTAACACTTTGGGAGGCCGAGGTGGGTGGATCACCTGAAGTCAGGAGTTCAAGACCAGCCTGGCCAACATGGTGAAACCCTATCTTTTAAAAAAAAAAAAAAAAGAAAGAAAGAAAGAAAGAAAGCTCCAGGCTGGTTACGGTGGCTCACACCTGTAATCCTAGCACTTTGGGAGGGTGAGGTGGGTAGATCCCCTGAGGTCAGGAGTTTGAAGCCAGCCTGGCCAACATGGTGAAACCCCATCTCTACTAAAAATACAAAAAATTAGCCAGGTGTGGTGGTGCATGCCTGTAATCCCAGCTACTCGGGAGGCAGAGGTAGGAGAATTGCTTGAACCTGGGAGGTGGAGGTTGCAGTGAGCTGAGATCACTGACCTCCAGCCTGGACAACAAGAGTGAAACACTGTCTCAAAAAAAAAAAAAAAAAAAAGAAAGAAAGAAAGAAAAAAGGAAAAAAAAAGAAAGAAAGCTCTAGGGCTCCCTCTGTTACTTCTCATGATGCTTTGTCACCATCAAGTAGATATCTACGCTGGCCCATGGCTGGCTGGATTGTTCTCAGGTGACCAGGCAATACAAAGAGGCTCACATCACTCATCTGAAAGATGCTCCTTGACCTCTTTTAATTTTTTCTAATTCTTGCTCACCCCTCCCCCGACAGCAGCTACTTACTCCTTCTATTCCTTTGACTTCTCCTCCTTTTGGTCAAATGACTGATTATAGAGATGATTCCCAAACCCGTGATCAGTATGCAAATGATGAGAATGGATGTCCTGGAAGGAACCACAGCAGATTTTATGTTCCTTGGAAGAAACTACCTATTGGTTCTCAGTTCTGGATCCCCTTCTCTGGGATTTGCACACCTGCCCGCCCCCCCATCCAGTTACAGTAGCTCCTGGCAGCTGTATTCCTTTAGAGTGACCCCGTCCTTTGAACCACACTCGGGACCTGCTGAGCATCTGACTAAGCTGAGCCAATGAACACTTTCCTCACAAATTAACTGTGGATTGGGACTAGGAGAATCCAGTCTCAGACTGGCCAGCCTCTTGAATGGGGGGAGAAATAAGCTCAGGAACTATAAATGGATGACTGTTCGGGGAAAAAAGAGAAATATGCAAGGTCAGTACAGAGAGAGAAGGAAGCAAACACAGTTTCAAGGCAGATTAGAGATGGAGGTAAAGTCCTGAGGAAGCTCCTGACGATTTTCAAGGGTGGCCAACATCCCTGCTCCTGCATTTGAAACACCATTTTCTCCTTATGATAAATGCTCCCTTTTAATGAAAATAGCTAGAGAGTATTTTTTTCGGCTTTCAACCAAGAGTCCAAAACTATATATATATTTTTGAAAGAAACCAAATACTCATATTAAGGATACATAGTTCAAATGGAGAAATAATGTGCAGCAGAAAAGTTGTCAATGCAAATCAACTGTCATATCATACAATTGTCAGCCTAGCCCCTACCTCCACCCCACTGCCCCACGCCCATTCATCCCCTGAGACTATGACTCACCTGGAGTGGTCAGCCTCATGGACAACTTTGGGAGCCTTGCAGCTTCTGGTTTTGTTGCCTGGTAGGTCTGAATCAGAAAGGATTTGTTAAGTCAGGTGAGGCCCATAGCCAGGCCCCGCCTCTGCCTCTCAGCTGCAGCTCTGCCTGTCATTCTCTCAACCTCCAGAGAGTGGGTCCCTGGTTGACTTCAGAGTAAAGCAGAGGCACCAAGTGCAGTTGTATAAATGTGCCCTGCACAGGGAGCAAGGCTGAGGGGACAAACAAGGGCCAACATTTAGCCTGAACTCTGCTTGCTAAGCCATGCACCCTGCCTCTATGCACCTGAAGGAAGAGGTCCCTTTTCCAGATTTGGACAAAGTTCCCATGTTGACTAGAAGTGGCCCAGAGTCCCACACTGTGGTCTTTTCCCCATAGGAGGGGATGGACACCAGAAGCACCAGAGGGCCAATCCTATTTTTAAAGAACTGCTCATTTGGTGATATAATTGCCGTATGTTTCTTATGACAGCCACGAAAACCCAATGGGAGCAATGGCGCCACACCACCTACAATGTCTCCTCTGATAAGACCTGGGAGGGATCTGTGCTTCATTTAAACTAAGGAGTACATTCAGGTGGGACTTCTCTTCTCTGAGCCTAAGATTCGGGTCAAGCTGCACAGTTGACTAAAAGCAGAACCACACGAAGTAGAAACACTGTGGGCGTGAAAGATGTCACATTCAGTAAGATCCTGGCTGAATCAATCACCAGCTGGCAAAGTGTGAGCAAAACTCTATTTCCAGCATGGGGACAGGTTTCCCAAGGCAGCCCTTAAGCCCTTCTGGTTTGTTTTCCTACCAGCATTGTGCTTTGAACTGTGATAGAAAAGGACATCCTTTCTAGAAATGGAAACAAGGAGAAGGTACAGGAAAATAAAAGAAAGAAATGCTAGTGCCTTCCATAAGTCCTCTGTCTGAGAGACAGAGGTTTTCTGTTGCAAAAGGAGGTTTTCATCATTCAGCAGAAAGAACTTAGGGGAACATCTGGAAATCCTGTGTCTTAGCTCCAGCCAAAAGTCACAATTGGTCAACTCAGACTTTTCTGCTATGGACTCCAGTTCCACCCACACCTTTCCCGTGGTCTCTGAATAAAAACTGCACATTCCTTAAAAGCAAAAGAGGGTGGCTACTAGTTGGGCCACGGCATTTATCTCTGTAAATTATTATCATTATTTTTTGAGACAGGTTCTCACTGTCATCCAGGCTGACGTGCAGTGGTGCAATCACAGCTCATTGCAGCCTCAACCTCCCGGGGCTCAGATGATCCTGCCAACTCAGCCTCCCAAGTAGCTGGGACCACAAGTGGGCACCACCACACCCAGCTAATTTTTGTAGAGATGAGCTTTCTCCACTTTTCCCCAGGCTGGTCTCAAACTCCTGGGCTCTAGCAATCCAATCGCCTCAGCCTCCCAAAGTTCTGGGATTACAAGAGTGAGCCACCATTACCTGGCTACCTTGGTACGTTATCAAATTATTTAAGTTGACAGTTACCAGGCACCGGGGTCATTTTTTGCAGCCTTAGACACCTCTCAAGAAATTAATCTTCAAAATTCTAGACCCACAAGGCACACAGACATTTAATAACAACTTCAAAGCCTTTCAATACAAAGATCTCACATCTACTAGGCCCTGTTAGCCTTTTCCAAGGTCCTTAAACCAGATTGCTGCAAGGAAAGAGATGTTCTAAATACGCCCCAGGCCACAGACATTCTCCTTGTCCCCAACTTCCAGCTATTCCCCAGCTCTGTCAATGACCACCCATGTTTGCTGGAGGAAGAGAGAGGCCACGCAGCCCCAAAGAACACAGCGGGAGTCCGAGTTGGGGCTCACCAGCTTCAGTGAATTCTCTCTCAGCAGCAAACACCTGTGGCCGTGGGTCACCTCCACCCAGACCCCAGCATGCTCCTTACCTTTCCCAGACCAAAAGTCATTGGCCAGGGTTCCTTTGTTGTCAGTTACAATCAGCTCTGTAAAATCCATGTAATCCCTGGCAAAGTCCCGCTGGATGCCACACCAGTACCAGCCTGTGTCCTCCCTAGCCAGGCAGGACATAGTGACAATGAGCTGGTTCCCTGTGTCCCTCAGGGCCACATGATTGGTGCTGTTGGGGGAGAAGGCGATGATGTTGCAGTAGTCACGGAAATAGCCTCGGCACCAGTATTTGCGGTGGTCCTTGTAGCGGGCATTGTAGCTGCAGATAGCAGAAGCCGTGTCCAGCACAAAGCTTTCCTTGACCTTTTCATCCATGACCATGGCATCTGTGAAAACACACACACACGCGCGCGCACATGCACACACGCGCGCATCATTGTTCTCTCAAAACATTGCAGTTCCTGCCCTCCTGAAGGATAATTAAAGAATCGGAGACTGGTTTTTGCCTCTATTTGATTGGCAACCGTTATGGGCTGAACTATGTTGCCCTCAAAACTCATATGTTTCAGTCCTAACCTCCCGTGCCCCAGAGTGTGATTGTATTTGGATATAAGGCCTTTAAAGAGATAATGAATTAACACAGGGTCGTTGGGGTAGTCCTTAATTCAATTTAACTGGTGTCCTTATAAAAAGAAGAGATTAGGACTCTGACATACAGACAGAGGAATGGCCCGTGAGGGCACAGCCGGAAGGCAGTCATCTGCAGACCAAGGGAAGGCCTCAGAATGAAACCAAACTCGCCAAACACCTTGATCTTGAACTTATCTTCTGCTGACTGCGCAGGGCTGAAAATAGAGGAAGTCGTATTCTGTCTTTAGGGGATAAGAACTTCATGTTCCCTCCTGCAAGACCAGCATAGGCACCTCTGTCATCTCAGATATTGCACAATGAGAAAGTCACGCACACCATGTCCAGCTGGACTGTGGCACGGAAAATGTCTGACCAAGGAGAAGAGACGGGACAGCACAGCCCATCCTTCCATCAGCCTTCCAGATGTGTAGCAGAGACCACTCAAATGCAGGCTCATGTTCTTTATAACATTGTGTTTTTATAACAACCCCACAAGGAAGACAACATGATCTTCAGTTTAGAAGTATGAATGCTGACCCAGAGAAAGGTTCAGCAACTCTAGACACTGCACAAATGAAGGTCGACAGAGCTCGGAAAAGGCCCGTCTTCCCAGTCTCCTCTGTGGGGTCAGGCATGAGCGGAAAAAGGAAAGTTGTGTCCTCATATATCTGCACATATATTTTTGAGGGGAGAAGGGGGAAGGGGAGCTTGGATGAGCTAAAAGAGAAAATACAGAGCTCTTATTTTATTTTATTTTGGTGGAGATGCTGGGGAAAATATGGAATGCATAATGAATCTGCATGTCATCCTCGCACAAGGGCCATGCTAATCTACCTGTATCATTCTAATTTTAGTACGTGTGCTGCCAACGTGTGTACAGAGAGCCATCATTTTAGCCAAGCTTTCCAATTTCCTCACAAAGTCTCTTATCTGAGCTAAGAACAAGAACTAACATGGACAAGACCTATTTTTGTCTTCTTTTATTTTCCCATCCCCTTCCTTAGACGGTTCAAACTAATAAGCAGGGACTCCAAGTAGGAGAGGATTTCAGTACAAAATCTCTGGGAAGGCCACAGCTGAAAGGGCTGGGACTGTTCTTTCCCCCATCCTACCTGAAAAGAGAGTCAACGGGAGTAGAATGACAAGCCACATGACGCGACGGAGGCAAGCCATCCACTGGATGGATAGAATGCACCCAGGGAGCACAGGAATCCCAAATCTGTTTAAGGGAAACAGATATGCTTGAGCTTAATATGGCTTTATCCTGGTTTAATGAGACCAGTGGAAAGGGAAAACAACCAGTTAATCCAAGCAGTGCTGCCATGTATAGGTACACTGCACAAGGGTACCACACCAGATGCTCTTCATAGATTTAAACTTATTGACAGGGCAACTAAGAAAATTCTGGGCAGGAGAGATGTCCCTCCTGGATAAATGGGCTCTGGCCCACACTCAGAAAAGCACATGCTCACAACCATCACTGGCCCCCATTTGTATGTGCTCCACTGTACCCTGTTCTGCTGCCAATGGTCCTGGCTTCATCAGAGGCCACTCGTTTTGTCTGTTCACCACTTTTGGAGGCCCAATTTCTTATATAGTTGAGAGGAATCCTAGTAATCAGATTCTCAACTAACCCAGCTCCCAAGTGGATACTGCAGGCTCATATGGGGAGTATGGCCAGGGGTGGAGCATGCCAGCTGTCAGTAGCCTGCATGCCTGGGACCTGAAACATGCGAGCAAGCGGAAGTGTGGGTGTTTGGATGACCACAGTTTGGGCTGCAGTCTTCAGACTTCCTGAAAGCTTTCCTGAGAAGAGCTGGAACAAATCAGGGAGATCCATCTATGCAGCTGCAGCAGCTTCTCCTGATTCTAATGAGACTCATGTGCTCTGACCACTGCTTTAAAAGTCTGAATTATTGAACCACCTCTCAGGTGAAGTTAAGCAGGGTGCTACTTATCACACCCCAGAGTCAGCACGTCCCACCAAGGGTCATACACGGATTGTCCATACACATTATTGGCCAGGTTGTGCAATAATGTCCTCTCTGGAGGAAGGAGAGCCTGTCTCTAATTCATGTGTAGTCAGCATGTGGGCCAGCAGCAAGCCTGTATCATGGTAGGTTTTTATCTACACCACCTCAGGTGCTCCTCATCAAAAACATCCATGAGTTCCACAGATAAATTACATGAATAAAAAAGGAAGGAAGGAAAGGAGAATCTATGGATTAAAAGGGACTTAAGAGACATATTGACAAATTATAATATATGGAACTTATTTGGATCTTGACTGAAGCAAACAATTCAGAATATATTTACAGTGATATGATTAGGATATAATTCTTCGATTTATTTTTTGAGATGTGATAATGGCATTGTCGTAGCCAACCTTCACAATGGCTCCTGGAATTCGTGCTGTTATGTAGTCCCCTCCCACACTGAATCAGGACTGGCCTGTGTGATCAATAAAATATGGCAGAAGTGATGGCATGTGATTTCAGAGGCTGGGTCATAAAAGGTGTGCAGCTTCCACCCTAGTCTCTCATGCTGCTCCTCTAGGGAAAGTCAGCCACCATGCTGCGAGGAATCTTGAGCAGGCTGTAGAGGGGCCTATATGGAAAAAACAATTCACTAGACATGTGAGAGTCACTTCAGGAGTGGATGCTCCAGCCACAGTCAAGCCTGCAGATGACTGCAGACCTAGTACCCTCATAAGAGACCATGCATTAACTACTCAACCAAAATGCCCCCTGAATTCCTGACCCATAGAAACCATAAGAGATGATAAAGTATTGCTGTTTCAAGCCTCTAAGTTTTGGGTGTAACTTGTTGCACAACAATGGATAATTACTGCAAATATTGTGGTTATATTTTTAAAAAGCAGTCCTTACCTCTGACAATACTGCATGCAAAACAAACACACTCAGCATTGCTCAGAGATGGCAACATGAAGCCAAAGAAACCAGCAAAAAGAGAAATGTATTGTGCACAGGTACCAGCAAAATGTCCAAGACACAAAAAAGTAACTCTAAAGTAAATGAAGGTGTAAGGGTTACAGAGAATGAATGATGTGTCTGCTAGTATTTTGAATATTGCTTGATGTAGTAATTCCATAGAATTAACTTTCATTCTATTTAGATGTATAAATATGAAGGTAAATAGGCAATAAGAATAAACCAAATAATTTTTAAAAGATCTTTTAGAATGCCAAAGGAAATGTTTATAGATGAAATAACTTGATATCTGAAAATTTCAAGATAATTAGGGCAGGGCAAGTGGATACGGGCACAAATGAAACAAGATTGGCCGTAAGTTGATAATTACTAAGCAGGATAATAGACAAATAAGGGGTCCTTCTTTTAGTCTGCTATAGTTTGCATATTTGACCCTCCAAAGCTCATGTTGGAATTTGATCCCCTATGTTGGGGGTGGGGTCTAGTGGGAAGTGTTTGAATCATAGGGGTGGATCCCTCATCAATGTCTTGGTGCCGTCATTGTCATCATGGTAATGAGTGAGTTCTCAATCTATTCGTTCCCATGAGAGCTGATTGTTTCAAAGAGCCTGGCACCTCCCCCACCCTGCTTCCCTTGCTTTCACCATGTCATCTGTGCATGCTGGCTCCTCTTTGCCTTCCACCATGAGTGGAAGCAGCATGAGGCCCACACCAGAAGCCAAACAGATGCCAGCCCCATGCTTCTTAGACAGCCTGTGGAACTGTGTGCCAAATAAACCTCTTTTCTTCATAAATTACCCAGCCTCAGGTATTCTCTTATAGCAACACAAACAAACTAAGACATAGTCACTCCACTTTTGTGTGTTTGAAATTTTCCATAAGAAAAAGTAAAAATCAAAACACAAAAACAACTTTGACACAGATATTATTAATCTGATCTTACAAATGAAGACAATTGAGGCTCAGAAGTTTAAGTAGCTTGCCCACATTCACACACCTAGTAGAGCCACTATGATTTCATGGCAAATCTGGGAGGAAAACAAACAAAAACTATTTTCGTCACACTGTGCTGCTTTCATGATAGTTGCAATACTGTAAAATTGTAGAGCATGTTAGAATTTACAAAGGGTCTTTACAGAAATTCTGTCACTGAGTAGTTGGGAAAACATGCAGCCCAAATTTTCTTATTCCAATTATACTCAGCTATAGCAGCTAAGAGCAGAGTTTCTCTAGAAAATGTGCATTTGGTTATAAGAAACTGAATATACAAGTGAACTATTAGGAAGCCAGACCATATATGAAAATAGAATTCTGACCTACAACCTGCAGCAACCTGCTCAGAAAACCAACTGCTAATCAATAAATAGTAAGCCAGTCTGCTGTAAGTCAGACTTGTAGGAAGTCAGATTGCTTTCTTAAGCCAGAAAGCCAAACAATAGCCCCTTTAACAATCAACCCAAAATGGCCAGGGCTTAAAGCAGTCAGGCAAGAGACGTAAATAAAGGGCATCTAAATAGGAAAAGAAGAAGTCAAACTATCCACGCTTATGGACCACATGATTCTATATCAAGAAAACCCCATGGTCTCAGCCCAAAATCTCTTTCAGCTATTAAACATCTTCAGCAAAGTTTCAGAATATAAAATCAATGCAGAAAAATCGCTAGCATTCATATACACCAACAACAGCCAGGCCAAGAGCCAAATCAGGAATGCAATCTCATTCACAATTGCCACAAAAGAATAAAATGCCTAGGAATACAGCTTATCAGGGAGGTCAAAGATTTCTATGTTTTTGTTTTTTTTTTTTTTTTTTGAGACGGAGTTTCACTCTTATTACCCAGGCTGGAGTGCAGTGGTGCAATCTCGGCTCACTGCAACCTCTGCCTCCTGGTTCAAGCAATTCTCCTGCCTCAGCCTCCTGAGTATGTGGGACTACAGGTGTGTGCTACCATGCCCAGCTAATTTTTGTGTTTTTAGTAGAGACAGGGTTTCACCATGTTGACCAGGATGGTCTTGATCTCTTGACCTAGTGATTCACCCACCTGGGCTTCCCAAAGTGCTGGGATTATAGGCATGAGCCACCACGCCCGGCCAAAAGATCTCTATCATGAGAATTACAAAACACAGGAAAACATTCCATGCTCATAGATAAGAAGAATCAATATCATTAAAATGGCCATATTTCCAAAAGCAATGTACAGATTTGGTGTGATTCTTATTAAACTACAAATGACACTTCACAGAACTAGAAAATATTATTTAAAAAATGATATGGAATTTTTTTAAAAAGCCCAAACAACTAAGGCAATCCTAAGCAAAAAGAACCAAGCTAGAGGATATCACACTACTCAATTTCAAACTATACTACAGGACTACAGTAAGCAAAACAGCATGGTACTGGTAAAAAACAGACATTGGAATAGAACGGAGAACCCAAAAATAAAGCTACACACCTACAACCATCTGATCCTTGACAAAACTGGCAAAACGAGCAGTGGGGAAAAGACTCCCTATTCAATGAATGGTGCTGGGATAACTGGCTAGCCATATGCAGAATATTGAAACTGGACCCCTTCCTGACACTGTATGCAAAATTCAACTCAAATGGATTAAAAATTTAAATGTAAAATCTAAAACTATAAGAACCCTGGAAGGCAAACTAGCCAATACCATTCTGGACATAGGAACTGGCAAAGGTTTCATGATGAAAAGGCCAAAAGCAACCACAACCAGAGTAAAAACTGACAAATGGGATCTAAGTAAACTTCAGAGCTTCTCTGCACAGCAAAAGAAATTATCAACAGAGTAAAGAAAGCTTACAGAATTGGAAAAATATTTGTGAATTATGCATCTGACAAAGATCTAATATCCAGCGTCTATAAGGAACTTAAACAAATTTACAAGGAAAAAAAACAGTCCCATTAAAAAGTGGACAAAGGACATGAACGCTTTTCAAATGAAGACGTACATGCAACCAACAAGCATGTGAAAAAAAGCTTAATATCACTGATCATTAGAGAAATGCAAATCAAAATCAAAATGAGATACTATCTCACACCACTCAGAATGGCTATTATTAAAATGTCAACAAATAACAGGCGCTGGTGAGGTTACAGAGAAAGAACACTTAAACACTGTTGGTGGGAGTGTAAATTGTTCAACTAGTGTACGAATTGAACCAATTACTAAATGAAATTAGTTCAATTTGTGGAAAGCAGTGTAGCAATTCCTTAAAGAGCTAAAAACAGAACTATCATTCAACCTAGCA